TGCCGCCACCGGGTTCGTATCTCAAGCCAACTTTTGGGGTGCTGCCGTAACCCGATCTGTATCTCAAGCACAACCTTCCTAATTAGTCGCTCATTACGTACTCACTGCCCTTGTAAGGTTCCCAACAACCTCAGTACCCACATTTGGAACTGTCTCTTTACTTGGATTTTTTATCGGTCCCTTCTTTACTTTCAGCTGGCAACTCAAATGGGTCGGTCTGCCCAGGCTTTAGGTGCCTGAAGAACGCCCTCCTCTTGGTCCATACTTTCAGAGTGTACACTTTTTTCCTCCGGTGCGTCGGCCCGGTGGTTTGGCTAGTGTATCCTCTCACTAAAGAACCTAATCGCTCAGTTCTCTAATTTCAGGCCCGGTTTGAATTCAACCCTCCTGTGGTACCATCAAAGATCATTGCTATATTCTAACTCGGAACTTGCTAAACAGGTTTTTGGATATTATGGTTCCTTGGATTTATTGCGTCAAAACTCCGATTACTAGATAGTGTGACCGAGATTACAGATTAAGATAATCGACAACCATTAACTGTAATGCAGATCTATTTTCAAAATCATTGTCCATGGGATTCAAACTCTAGACCTGCCATTTAGAGGGTGACAACTTTACCACTTCACTAAGTCACCACACCCTGCTATATATTAACTATTGTTTAATATCAATTATTATATAAAAGCTAAGTAGTAATATATAGCTGCTTATTGATATACAGTATATCAATAATATATTTTACAATATACTATATATTGTTAATTTGATATATATCAATTTTTATCTATTTATAATATTTATTGTTTGTTAGATATATATTGATGTTTTTATATATTTATTAATATATATCAATATTTTCTAATTAATATATATTAATTTGTTGCTATATATTGATGTATTTTTATTATAAAAATTTTTTGATGGTTGGAAAAAATATTTTAATGTTTATTAAGGGTGATAACATCTATTATTAGTGATTGAGATAAGTTTTGCTAGATTTTTGTTTTAGTGAGTTCTGCTAAAGTATACCAACTATCATTTGTTATTTGTTTGTAAAGGAAAATTTTTTTGTGTTTTTTCTTGGTGTGCCGTTTGGATATATTAAAATTGTAGAGATTAATATATGATTGCTATCTGTTATACTATTTGTACAGTATTATTGTAATTAGTTTTGGTATTTTAAACTATAGAGTTATTTCTGTATTGGTTTATATATTATTGATTTGGCTTTGTAGGTTTTGTTTACTTCAAGTGAGTGTTTTGATAGAGTAGAAGTTAAGCAAACTAGTTATAGATGAAGCCTTGAGAACATTGAAGATAGAGTTTTGCATTTCTTTTCCTGTTTAAATTGTTGTTAAAATTGTTTAGAATGATAGAGTTCTATTTTTTTCATTTAGCCTCTTGAAGCTATAGATTAATTAAGTTATTGGTTACTTTGCATAGGTCCAGATAATTGGAAGGTAGATATGTCAAGATCAAACAGAGCTAGGTGTTTGCTAAAAAAAAGAAGTCAATATACAAAACTATGTCTGGGTGGGTTTAAATATTGTAAATATATAGTTGTAACTAAAGATGAATAGCAAGGGCAGTGTCAAGACTAGCCTCTTTAAGTGCATTTTGAGTAAACTGGTAGTTGGATATATAAATTTTGTACTATATAATAGGTTAGATACAGTGATTGGATTTTGATTCTTGAGTTTGGTTTCTGTGATTAAAATAATATGGTAGTTTTGTTAGACATAGTGTTTAAGAAATAGTTGAAATTTGAGATGGTTATTTAGCCTTGAAACATTGTAAGTAATAATATTAATGTGGTCAGTTATATTAAAGGGTGGTATATAATGTCAAAGTGGGACTGTTAGGGACAGATCTGGTTTGCAAGGAGCAGTTGTATATAGAGTTGTTTATAATAATGGGAAGTAGTTGTTAAAGATATCTTATTTGGGGTTAGGTAGGTTAGATAAATTAAGTAAATAAGAAGAAGTGCCTTTGAAGTTAAAATGTTCTTGTAGATTTGCAATTGTCATTTTGATCTGGTTGTATTTTGTGATAGGAACCTTAATAGTATGGTATAATTTTAACTATTTAAGATAAGCTGTGATTTCGAAGAGTTGGTCTGGTAGTGATGATTTGGTTAAAGGATCTGAGTTTGTTTGAATTTTGATCCATTCAATGGGTAGTTGGTAGAAGAAATAGTATTCTTGAAGAAAATGAGCAATATCAACTAGTACTTTTGAACTATTTATAGGTAAAATTAAGCTAATTTCAGTAATAAGATTGGGTTCTGTTGAAAGAGGAGATTTATTTGTAGAGTTAACAGTTATATACTGTATTTGAGTAGGAGTGAGATGTTAAATTTATATAAGTCCTGAATTTTTGCAACAAATTTTTTGGCTAAGTATGTATTGATTATTAGGAATATATAATCTCTAAAAATATGAATTGAGTAGAGATCAGCTGGTAATAGTTTCTTTTGTATAAAGAAATTATTTAAAACATGTCTAAAACTGTAATATTCTCTAAGGATATTAACATATTTTTTAAAGTCAATAGCATTTCAAGAATTGAAGAAAAATAGGTGCCTAACTGCTGAATTGAGGTTTTGTGAAGTAGTGGGAAGGTGTGGTTTGGCTTCAGATAAATTAAAATAACTAGCTGGAATTTCTTTTTCTAACAAGTAGTAATGCTTTAATTTTTTTCTATATTCTGAGAGGTATAATAATGCAGATCTCTTGGTGATTGAAAATAAAGATATTTTTGTAGTGAAATTAAAAAACTTAAACTAATATACAGTATACCTCTACAATATGAAAGCTTCAAGTTTACTTAATAAACTATTGACACTTAGCTTATTACACAAGGAAAATCGAAAGTACATAAGTAAATATAAAAAAAAATTTTTGTGTGTACCGTTAAACGAAGATCTACATAGGGGCCTGTCTCTGCAATACTGTATAAGTTATTATTGAACTCTGTGAAGCTCGAATCCAGCCAAGTAATTTATAAGCCCGACTCGTAAATACGTAGTTATTACATCTTTTACAGTTTAGATGATTGTCAGAAAACGTTACGTTTTCATTTGGTAACAACTAGACAAGCGTTAAACTTTTCTCCCGTGTACTATAAAAAACTTTGCAGAATTGAATTGTATTACAAATATAAATAATGCAAGATAAATGTAATATGGTATCAGATGCAGTGCCACTCTATACTATTTATGTAATATCTATTCTATTCTAGTAGTAGGACGAAAAATTAGTTGTACGTAACAATGGTAACCCAGGAACTGTGCAATAATTTTTCTACGTATTTACCTTTTTTTTTTAAAAAAAGTCCGACATATTGAATTAAATAGTTTACTTACATACGTACATACGTACGTACAAGATTTTTAGCGTTAAAAAATTTGATGTCTGAGACGGCTCACTCCATAATAGTTTTTTTTTAAATTAGATAAATATTATTATATACAAATATCAGATCGTTTACTTAATAGTATATTGATATATATCTCAGTAAGTCTATTCGAATGGTCGAATCCAATCACGGGGTTCCGAAAAAGGGGTGTTAAATACATTACAAGGGTAATTTTATATTTTGTAAATTATGACAGGGTAAATCGTGGGTTACACACGAGTAAATTCTCAGGAAAGAAGCGGGTATTCTCAGAAACGATGCTTTTTGCTACTCCTGTGAACAAACATCGCACAGATTCAACTTAATCAAAAGGTGCGATTAGTTTCCTTCGATTCAAAATTCAATCGTCGCCTGCGCTTGTTGGAGATCTAAAGGCCTTCTTTTCTTCATTTGATGCTTTGGTACCTGACTATTCTTGTGGAAGTGATGCTTTTGCTCTTTAACGGTCGAACCACTTTCTTGAAGATCCAATCCCAAAATCTATCTTTTAAACATCTCTGACTTTTTGAGTTTGCTACTTAAATTTTACTATTACTATCAATTTATCTGTATAATTTAATTGTTGAATACAATGGCACAAACTTATGGCCAGCAGCAGCAGCCAATGCAACAGTCTCAAATACCAGAATACACTTTACCAGGCGTACTTCATTTTCTCCAATCAGAATGGAGACGCTATGAGCGAGACAGAAATGAATGGGAGATTGAGCGTGCCGAAATGAAGGTAATTACAAAAATATTTATATTTATTTATATTGTTTATTATTTATTCGATGAAATAAAGTAGTTCGTCAGATATTAATAAAAATAATTTGAATTAATTTAAATTTAATTTATCGTTTATTGTTATAAAAATTTATGAATAAAAAGGCCCGCATCGCACTATTGGAAGGTGAACGTCGTGGAATTGAAACCATGAAAATAAATCTTATGAGGCGTGTAAAAATGTTAGAATTTGCTCTAAGGCAGGAGAGGTACGAAGATATAACATTAATAGATCAAAGAAATGCCGCCGCTTAATTAAAGAACTTCCCATGTTATAGAAGTAAATATTTGGCCGGCATATCATCCACACAACCTTTAACAAGGGAATCATCCACTGTATCAACTACTGCAAACGAAGAAGGACGTAAGTTGCGAATTTGCAAATTTTCGTAAGTTTTCTTATTTGGCTATTATGAAACATTACTTTTTTTCATTCACAAATTAAAATTGTTTTATCCCCCTTATTTCTCACCACAATATAGTACAAAATAATTCTCAATCAACTACTGAGTTTTCTCTGACTTCCGAACAATCTTCACAACAAAAGAGTCTTTTATCAAGTCGGGATCCTAATTATCGCATCAAAAGTCGAGAAATTCTTAAAGCGTATGATAAGCATGCGTGCCTTTTATTCTTCATATTAGTATTTTTTTTTTTTTTTAAAAAAAAAAAAAATTTATTAAAATAACCAAATTTTTATAGGTGCCTGCAAGAAATTGACTACCTTACAAATGCTGCGACTAGTAACCCATCTATTAGCAATCGACTTTTAAGCCATCCAACTGGTTTGAATGGAAATAATGCAACCAATCAAATGCCAAATCATAGAGACAGTGCAATATGGGTTGGGGGCAATTCTAATGCACATAACGGAGTGCCACCGAAAAGATTAGGCAACGTTGCAATAAGACCTTCTAGGCCTGCTCCAACAACACCACCGTCAATTTTACCTATATTGCCAACAAATTCATCTAGCCCACCATTAGATAATCCTTTTCCTCCGCGTGAAGGTATAGAGATTGTTTCTCCTGAAAATGAAGACGGTCCATTCTTTCCCAAATCAGCTGGTAAATTGTACAAGAATGATGAAAGATTTTCTGATGATGAACAACCATCATTTGATTATCAAGGAAACGATATAATAGCTTCGGGTGAAACGACACCAATTGGTAATGGAATTGGTGGGTTAGAGACAAATAAAGCCGATGAAAACTACTTTGAAAAAGATGTTGGTACTCCCGCCTTTAACAAATCCGGACCTTGGAAAATGCAGAGTCAAATTACAGCCAAAAATATGACTGCATTTCAAAAAAGTGCAGATGAACTCAGAAAAGAAGAATATCAATTGGTATGTTGTTATAAATAAATGGGAGGATTTCACCATTAAAAAGAAGACGTTTTTTTAAATTTTAGTTTAATTTTTTTTTTTTTTTTTATAGACAAAAGATGTTCAGAAAAAATTTAACCTGTCAGATGAGAAAATTTCGAAATTGATGAAACATTCTTCGAAAAAAAATCAAGGAATATTACGTTTGTATATCTTTTTTTAAATATATATTTCAATTTCAATATATCAGTGTTTATTTACCATTAAATATTTTTTTATAGCAATTAATACATCAGATCCTCAATTAGACGAACTCAGTTTATCAGTTGATGAAGTTGACAACGCAGAAAAATCCGAGGTAAAGATTAAATATTACATCAAAAATCATGAATTCCATAATTTAATTTACTTGTTATTCGCCCGGATTCTGCTACAGGTTGATAAATTACAAGAAAATAATTCAGATAGAAAAATGTGGAGGCAACGATTCACATTAAGGAGGTAATTAGCTATCTAATAATTTTATAATTAATACGAATATTTAATAATTATATTTATTTATTTATTTTTAGCCATCTTGATACTGTTCGTTCTATTTCATGGCATAAATCAGAACTCATGTTTGCATCTGGATCGGAAGATGGCACAGTGAAGTTATGGAATTTAAAGGGCCCAATTTCTCTCAAGTATGAAGAAAATAATAATTGTTAAAAAAATTGACAAACGTCATATTCATAACACTCTCATAACGCTCTTTATGATTGATTTAATTAATAATCAGACCTACAGATGTTCCTGATATTGAACCGACAATTACTTATAGAAGTCATACAGCGGCCGTAAATTCAGTTGTCATTGCTTCAGAACAGTACAAATGTTATTCGGCTAGTATGGACTCCACAATTCGTGTATGGGATCTGCCACCACCAAAACGAGACACTTACGGACCCGTCGGTAATTATAATTATATATAAATATATGTACACATTATTAGCATTGAATTTCTGTAGGAAAATATCTCTTATCAGAATTTAAATCCTATTTTATAGATTCACCGTTAAACTTGACTACCTACATTGGTCATACGGATGCTATATGGGACTTAAGATTATTCCCTATTCGTAACTTAAATACACAGTTTTTAGCATCCGCATCTGCTGATGGAACAGTTAAAATTTGGAATACGGAAACGGAAGGATCGCCCTTGAAAAGTTCATGGGGATATTATGGTAGTGACAGTGAACTACCAGTTAACGGAGGTATATTGATTTTTATTAATTTTTGAAATTGAATTTTCTTTTTACGAATGATATTTTAAAAATTTATAATTTTTCGCTTTATATATATTATTAGTTCGTCCGCCAATACCTACATCTATTGATTTTGTTCATAGCGATTTGAAGAAAATTGCCGTTTCATTCCAAAATTCAATAATCAAGCTTTATGACATTGAAACAGGACAAAGTATTGTAACCTTTAATAGTGATGAAACCTACGATAATACTCCAGCGACACAAATCAATCGTATCATCGTTCATCCTACCATGTCGCTGTTATTTTCTGCACATGAAGATAAATATATTAGATTCTTTGATGTTAATAGCGGTAAGATTTAAAGATCATTTTTCAAAAAGATCAAGCTGTTATATATTTAATCTCTCATTTATTTGCAGGTAAATGTAATTTCTCAATGCTTGCCCACCTGGATTCGGTCACCACGCTTGATATTGATCCATCAGGAATGATATTGGTATCAGGAGGTATGACTTATTTTAAACTTTTGTTTTATTTATTAAACTTGATTGTTATGATTTTCTAATATTTTAATAATGAAAATCAATAAAGGTCATGATAGTTCTATTCGCTTGTGGGATATTGTATCAACTAGACAATGTGTTCAAGAGTTTGTATCGCATCGACGAAAATCTGATGAGGGAGTATTATGTGTTGAATATCACCGGTCTTTACCATGGATGGCAAGTGGTGGAGCAGATTCAGTAGTGAAGATATATTGTTAAAAATGTTAGAGGACGATCATATTCGTTTTTTTAAAAGTTCAATTTGTTTTTTTAGTATATATTGTAATTTGAACTTTGAGAGGTGATTGTAAAATGAAATTAATGCTTAAAAGATTTAAATACTATTTACTACTTTTGACGTATCTTTGGTGGGTATTGTTGCATTTACATTCTTTTTATTTACTATATTTCAATTATTTATTACTGTATTAGAAATAAGTTTTCACAATAGCGAAGGACTTTTTGTATTTTAAGAAATGTTTCAATTTTTCAAATTTGATAACAAAATTCTAGTATTGGTACTATTTACTTTAGTGAAAATGATTTTATTCCTTATTATAATTTAAATAAAACCAGTCGAATGTAGAACAAACTCTGCAGGTAGTCTCATGGACAGCTTGCAGAGATATTTTTATAATTTGTATTAATAAGGTTCTTAGAATTAATTGTCTAGACATTATATTAAAAAAGTTATCAATATTCTATATTACTATAAAAAAATAGCCAAGTCTGTTTTTTATCTTATTGACTCTGGATGGCATTGCTTTAATTTTGTGGCCTACATTTCCTATTATGGTTAATGTTAATTTAAAGTTGGCAAAGATGTCAAAGATGTCGAAATCATATAAACCCTATGAGCGAAAATGTCCAATTTTTTAATATGAAACTAATCTAGAACTTCATTTTTAAAAGGACAATTTAACCATTAGTTAGCCCAAAGAATGTAATTAACATTTAACGATAGGTATGTATAAACAATATGTTAATGAAAAATTTTTTGGGCTTATTTAGATCGACTGTAGTCGAATATTAAAACATTTAACAACTTTTTTGGTTATCGGACAAATACAATACAAAATAGATTTATATTATAAACTTTAAACTTTATTAAAAAACATTTAAAATTTTATTAAATATTCGTTTTCAAAAAAAATATCGTTACAACTTTGAATACTACAGTATAAACAATAATAATATAATTAATATTACAACTTTTTAAGTTAATCTTTAATAAAATACTAGAAATAAAATTATTTTAAACTTACACGAAAGTTAGAATACAAAATGGCAATACTTTGAGATACTTAGTTTCAGAGATAATTACTCTTACTTGTCCCAACCACCACGTAGAGGTGTATCTCGTCGGTTGGGAAGGCGAACCCCAACCCATTTCTCTCCGACCGGTACTTGTCGTGGTACTGTTCCCGGTTTTTGAGCGGGTTGTTCCCTTGAATCATTAATACGTAAGTATTTCATCAAGTAGCTTTTTGCTCAGTTTATCCTCGCAGAGCTCGAGAAAAACCGTACCGTTAAGTTTACGCCAAATAAAAAACGACGACTATTGAATATGTAAAAAAATGAAAAAAGTTAAAAAGTTAAAAAAAAGAATGAGATTTGCAAAAAAAGAGAAAAAGGTGATCCTTATATGTCTTTTTATCAACGTGTTTATTTTGAAAACACGCGACTTTTGAACGTGTAATCAAGTAAAAACCTGTTTCAAACTAGTCTGAGTTTTTTGCTGTGGTGATGTAATTGGCACGTTTTTTTTTATTGGTCACTAAAACACTATAAATATTTTACTATATAGGTATAGCATGGTTGAAAATCCATTTGATTGGTTGTCGATCCTTGAAATTTCATTGGCTGTTTATAGTAAATGTTCTATATGAAAATGCAATCAATTATATGATAAGTTGCTGACGAATCTGATTATATCTGATTAAATTTGCCTGAAGCAAGTAGCATCGAAGAACAAAATTTTTTTAAAATTTCATTAACAGTTTGCTATATAAATTTATGACTTACGATTCGTAAGTCATAAATTTATATAGCAAACTGTTAATGAAATTTTAAAGAAATTTTGTTCTTCGATGCTACTTGCTTCAGGCAAATTTAATCAGATATAATCAGATTCGTCAGCGACTTATCATATGAGCGACTGTATTTTTATATATGATGTTACTATGATGATCGACAACCAATCAAATGGATTTTCCATAATGCTTATAGGTATATAGAAGATGTTATAATTTACTAAATAGTAAAGCTTTTACCCGACTCGTGCGGGTCAACTTCTCGAGGGTAGGGTTGGGGCACGGAAATCATCACGTGGGCACGACATAACACCCTAAATCATCACATGACACTGATTAGTAAAACATCACATATAATTAGTAATTTGCATGTGATGAATAACATAACATCCCCGTACCCGTGTGACAATTTGAAATCACACCTCCGTGCCCCAACCCTAACTTGAGGGATCACGTATTTCCCGATGTAGAAAATGGGCGAACTCAAATCACGAGCAAGATCCGAAAAATTCTAATTTAAATATTTGAAGTCGTTGCATCAACTTTTAAGAATTAACTTCAAAAACCGTATGAATTTCGGTTGATCCGGGTCAATACCCTGACTCGGGTAAGAGCTCTAGGTATGCGAGTTTTTATTAGAATTAAGTATTTTTATTTTGTCACGTTAGCATTTCAGAATGATAATTATTTAACTTCATTTTGTTCGTGTTAGTTTAGGTGATTGTGTTTAAAATAAGTTATTTAAAATTTAATTTTTTTGTTTGTATTAATGTAAATACTTTAATCTAGGTGTTCTAAATAATTATTTAAGTTTACTAACATTACGGCATATTTGTAAAATACCCTCAAATTTGAAAATTTTGACTGCTAACGTTAATAGTAATTTTGGCTAATGTTTCTCAGGCTAAATTGTATCGTTATGATTTATATATCTTGTCAAAGAGTGGGAAGATGGGTTAACCTGTGGGGAAATTGGCTAGACGCATTGTTATTATAGATCAAATTGGCAATAATTTTGGGTTCAATATTAGAAAATCGATAATAAATTTTGTCTCCAAAACTTAAATTTGACAAACACAATTCATTATTTAATTTCACTTGTTTTGTATTTAGTATGTGAGCATAAAGTTACTTTTAAATAAGCTATTTCAAATTTGTGAGTATTTTTCCTTTGATTTTTTTTATTCGTATTAATTCTAGTGAATATAAATAAAATTTTATTAATAACTTATATGTTTGGATAAGCTATTTACGTTCATTCGTGTTAATTCAAGTTAGCATAAAAAATTTATTAATCTAAGTGTTTAAATTCCGATTTATGAATCTTATATTTAATCAATTTTTATATAATTAATTTAGGAAATGAGTAATAAAGAAAATATACTAGTCTAAGTGCTTTAAGTTATTCTAGTTTAGGAATTACATCCGGGTAAAAATTGCTACGTATTATATATGACACAGTAATTTATCCGGATAACCCGGGTAATTTAATAATATCCATGTAGAAATTTTCCAAATCATAAATATTTACTATTAAGTTTTATTCATGTTATTTCTGGTGAGTACTGTATAACCATTTATTGAGATTTTAAATAAGCTATCATGTTCATAGAAATTTTTTCTTACTCATTTTAATTTAGGTCAGTATAAAAGAATTTATTAATCTGTGTTTAAAATAATTATCTTAGTTCATGGATTTCTACATATACAGTATGTCAACCTAAGATCTAGTGCATTGAAAAAGTGAATGTCGAAATGTGAGAAGTATTGTAAATATGAAATGGGC